ATTACTGATAGCGCAATATTGTGCACGTGATAGCATTTACCTTTGCTGTCTGTACCTTTTGTGCACCTCTGTGTGTCTTCCTTTTCCTTAGTGTTATTGTGTTGGTTACCCACTTTTGGTATATTGCCTTTCTTCTCACCAGAATCAATGTCTCTTACATAGCTAGCAATTTTTCCTCTTCTCTCCTTCCATTCCTGGTAACCAACAAAGAAAGTTTCCTTCCATTGTGTAAGCCTTTCCTTGATTTTTTATAAAAGTAGACTTATACAATATTTGTCCTTTTGTGATTGACTTATTTAACCCGGTGTCATGTACTCCAAGGAGCTCTGGTGGTGCAGTGCCTAAGGCATTTGACTGCTAACCAGAAGGCTGGTGGTTCAAACCCATCAGGCACTCTTTAGAATGAAGGTTGAGCAATCTACTTCCATAGTGATACCACTTCGGAAATCCAAGGAGGGGTCACTGTGAGTTGGATCTGACTCGACAGCAGTGTGGTGTTGTTTGTTGTAAATTCCTCCGAGATTAGCCAAGTTGTGGGCATTTCACAGATTCTTCATTATTCTTTGATTTTGCGTAGTATTCCATTACGTGTATGTACCATAATTTGGTTATCCATTCATCCTAATTTGGTCAGTTAGGTGGTTTCCTTCTCATTGCTATTGTGTGTGGTACTGTGATGAACATGGATGTGCATATATCTGTGTCCTGCCTCTGACTTCTTTAGGAGCTATACCTACTAGTGGGATTGCTAGATCAAATTTCTATTTTCAGCTTTTTAAGGATGCGTCATACCATTTTCCATTGTGGTTGTACCATTTAAAAATTCCACCAGCATATATGAGAGTTCCAATCTCTCCACACCCTTGCCAGCATTTGTTATCATCTGTCTTCTTGAACTTGGCTATTATTGCTTGGATGAGATGACACCTTATTGTTGTTTTGATTTACATCTCTCTAATGGCTAATGATCACATGTGTTTCTTCATGCCAATTGACAGTCCACAGCTCTGTTTGTCTCCTTATTTGCTGTTTTTACTCAGTTTCTTCTCCTAGTTGGTATTTAGTCCAGTTCTTTATCCTTCCCTTTGAAGCTCAGGACATGAGGGTGGCATTCTTTGACCTCTTCTAACATCACAAGGGGGAGAGAAAATCACAATCAGCAGCCCAAGCCTGATTCCTTTGAGGCTAGACATGCTGCCATCCTCCAATCATTTTTACCAACTCTGACACCAATTAGAGTCCCTCCCATGGCACTCACTGCATCTGTTCTGGGTTCAATAATTTGTGGCAGTGGCCACATAGAGCTCATAGACAGTATTAACAGTTATGGGTTTTATTACCATTCCCATTCAGGAACGTGCTCAGGATACAATTCTTTGATCAGGATAGTTTCCTCTCTGTCATGCCCTCAGGCACATCTCTCTTTGGCCCTTGACTTCTTGGCCTGGCTTCTGCCCTGCTTGGGCAAGTGTTACAAAGCTCTTTTAGCTCTGCTGATAGGTACACCTTGGTGCACGTCATTCTGCCATCAACCCTCCTATCTGAAGGCACTCAGCTTTCTGCTCTGTGGGTCAGCAAGCCTGTGGCTCTGTCTTGTGCCTCTTGATTCTGTTGCTGCTGTCCTTCAGCCAGTTGTCTTTGCCAGTTGCCTCTGCCAAGGAGATCCAATGCAGTGATCTTGGGACCAAGGACATGCTTCATTCCCCCTCTAGCTCTTCTCTCTTGGTGGCAATGAGATCCCCCCATCTTCTGCCTCTGGGATGGCTCATTTTAAGCCTAGCAGAATGACAAAACCAACCCATCCCTACATTAGGGTTCCATACACCTTATTTCCATGATCCCACTTCCACATGGTGCCATGTACCTTATTTACATTACTAGTAAGCTGTCTAATCTCCTTGGTGGGTCATAGCACCTTATATTTGCATAGTTCTGCCCAGTAATCTGGTGGGAGTCACAAAGACTTTGGCTCAAAGAGCCATACCAAGTAATTCACTGTATGACATCCTCTGTATTTGTTTCAGTTGATTTCACCTTTCTGTGTTGTTGAGGGTCTGGGTAGATTGTCTGTCTGTTCTGCCATCTTGCTGGAAATAGCTTTGGACAATTTTTTATTAAAATATATAGTTTGTCTCAGGTAAGGAAACCTGTCCCTTAGTTCTTTCAGCAGACATAAGCTCCAGAGATCTAATTGAAAGCTGAAAATAACATGAATACCCTACAATCTTGTAACAAGGAGGTTGCCTGTAAACTTGTTGCCATCAAGTTGATTGCAACTTATAGCAACTCTGTTGGACAGAGTAGAACTGCCCCATATGATTTTCAAGGGTTTAACCTCTTCCATAAAATAGAGGGTCAGGGGAAAAAACCCTCAGCAAGGTAGTTTGTCACAGAGGCTACCACAATGGTTTATCACAATGCCTCAAGCATAGCAAGGAGTATGAGGGTGGTACAGGATCAGGCAGTGTTTTGTTCTGTGCTACATAGGGTTGCTCTGAGTCAGCCAACTTAATGGCACCTAACAATGACAATGACAATCTTTACATGAGCAGACTGACATATCATTCTCTTGCAGAGCAGTTGGTGGGTTTGAACCATAGACCTTTTAGTTAGCAACTGAGTGCTTAACCACTGTGCCTCTAGAGCCCATTATAGGAGTTCACAGTCACTAGGAAACAGATTAGTGTAATAACGAATTATTACAGGTATATGTGCTGGGACCAGTAGGGCAGGAAAGGGGCTTGGTCATTTTGCCTCATAGGTAGGATCAGGAGAAGTGTTGGTAGGAGTAAATTTTTGAGCCTTAGTCTTGAAAAGTGGAGGGGTTCTGCAGGTAGAGTGAGAAGCAGGAGCACAGGTTTGGTGTGTGATGCATTTTGGTGGGAGTGGAGGGTAGGAAGGAGATATGTCAGAAGGCAAGGCAGACTTTGGTCTTACCCTGTCAGCCTTTGGGGACTTCTGAAGGATGCGTTGGGTAGTTGCATGTTTGTGTTTACCTTTTGGTAGGAAGACCTTGACAGCTTTGTGGAAGATGAACAAGATGGGAGTGATGCTGGGAGTAAGAAAATCAAAGGATAATTACAGTAGCCCCAATATAATAGAGCACAAGCACCAGCACTAGGGCAGTAGGGATGAAGAGGAGGTAGAATTTATGACTTAGTCTACAATTGAGTATGAAGAATAGGGAAAGCAAGGAATCTAGTGTGAGTGCTTAGTTTCTTATTTGGCTCATTTTACTGTTGTTTGTTGAGGTTTGACTACCTGAAAAGGAGCAAAGGTAGAGGGAGAAATAAGCTTGCTTTTGGCCTACTTAGGCCAAGGTGTCTTTGGGAAGTCCAGATGGGAATATTTAAAGGGCAGATGGGAATGATAGCTAAGACTAATTATTGTTGTATAACAATATGGTCAAATTTAGTGGCTTAAAACAACACTTGTATTATTTACAGTCTCAGGAGTCTGGACCCTACTGGAGAAAAATCTGCTTCTGAGCTCATATGGTTGTTGGCAGCATTGAATTCTTTGCAGGCTGCTAGACTAAGACCTCAGTTCCTACTCGCTGTTGGTCAGAACCTGCCCTCTGTTCTATGTCACCTGACCTGTTTGCAGGGAGCTCACAACAAGGCAACTGGCTTCCTCAAAGCCAGCAAGGGAGAGCTGCTTGTGCAAGATAGATATTACAGTTTCATGTATTGTCCTCACAAGTTTTATCCCCTCACCTCTGTCTGTGTTTGGTTAAAAGCAAGTCACAGGTCCAGCTCATACTCATGGGAGAGGACTGAACAAGAGCTTGACCACAAGGAAGGTTGAGGTCATAGGTTGCTTAAAGTCAATCCATCATAGTGCTACAGAGACACTTTGCTGAAGATCATACAGCCAGTAACTCATTTGTCAAGGATCCAGACATAGCCGATTTGACTAGAGTTTGTGCTCTTAATTATTACCCCTGTCCTTTCTCTGACCTTTGGAAGAAGGAACTGGACTGGGATAATAGATTTAGGAATTACTGATTTGTATTTGTATTACAACTGTGGTTGTAGAAACTAATATCCATGCAGATCATCTAGGGATGTTAAAATGCAGCTTCCCATTCAGTAGGTCTAGGCAGGGCATGATTCTACATTTCCCACAGTTTCCAGGGGATGCCCATGCTATGACTTGTGGACCACACATAAACTTGCTCAGGGTGACTGTGAGAAGAAATCAAGGGCAAGGTACTCAAGCTTACCAGCTTTGTAGAGATTTCAAAAAGACTGTTGGGTTTGAAAATGGCCAAGTGTAGAATACTGGGAAGCTCCAGTATTTTAGAGGAAGGTGGTGGAAAGGTGAGGCAGAAATGTTTCTCTAAGCACCTCTCCAACACACAGGGATGTGTTCATTCTATCCATGGTATTTGATTCAAGTTGTAGAAAACTCTGACCTGTCATCTCCCTCATTGTTTTTCTGTTACTCTACTTACAGATTGAGAAATTGAATTGTAAAGATTAAATATACTTTGTCATAGTTTCATTTTATATTCATTTTTAGAAAAATCAATTTCTGCTATTACCAGGTTTACTCTTTTGTTTACAATCAAATACTTAGGAAATTTAGTTATCTTTTTTTTTTTCACCTTTGGGGGTGGAAAAAAGATACTAACCAAACTCACTGCTGTCGAGTCAGATCCTACTCATAGTGACCCCTCCTTGGGTTTCTGAGGTGGTATCACTACGGAAGTAGATTGCCCAACCTTCCTTCCAAGGAGTGGCTGGTGGGTTTGAACTGCCAGGCTTCTGGTTAGCAGTCAAATGCCTTAGGCACTATGCTACCAGAGCTCTGTAGTGATACCGCCTCAGAAACCCAAGGAGGGGTCATTATGAGTTGGCTCTGACTCAACGGCACATAACGATAACAATTCAAACAAACATTCAGTGTAAGTGTGAAAAATAAAAAGAGGTACATTGAAGTGTGGATTTTTTTTTTATCTCCAAAATTTTTGATGTAAATTTGTTGTTTTTCACTAGAAAGTATGCAAAAGCAGAAACTCTTATGACAGTCACTGATCCTGTACATGATATTGCATTTGCTCCAAATCTGGGAAGGTCATTCCACATTCTAGCTGTAGCGACCAAAGACGTAAGGATTTTTACATTAAAGCCTGTAAGGTGAGTTTTAGAAACAATTACTAGTTTAAAAGTACTCTTTACTTTTGAGAAGAGAGCAGAGGCAATTTGATCGAACAATAGATTCTTTACTGAACATTCTATAGAACTTTATATAACTTTTTGGGATGGGGCATTAAGTAAAGAAAAGATACTTATATTTTTTTAATTATGTTTTATTGAGATTAACATTAACTGATTTTGAGCCTGTGAATATAATTAGTACTCTAAAATGTTTGAAAAAATGAGAGGTAGCAGTCAATTTAGAAAAAACTAATTAGTATTGAGACATTCTTCTGAATAACCTATTTAATTTTTATTAACAGGAAAGAACTTACTTCCTCTGGTGGACCAACAAAATTTGAAATCCATATAGTGGCTCAATTTGATAATCATAATTCTCAAGTCTGGCGAGTGAGTTGGAATATAACAGGGACAGTACTAGCATCTTCAGGGGATGATGGCTGTGTAAGATTGTGGAAAGGTCAGATTTCAATAAAAGAATAATTGTTTTATATTTCTACTTTAGAATTTCACTTAAAAATGTAAACTACAATATTTTTTTAAAAATTATGTTTATACAGTTTTATATTAAATTATGTTATTTTGAATAGTCATCATTTTACCTATTTCATAGCAGTAATGACTACTTGAATCAGTGTTTAAGTTTCAATCTGGAACAAAGCAACATATAAACAGAATATTCAGTGTCTCCAAGAAAAAGTTACCATTTACTATGTGTGTAACTTGTGTCACTGCTTTATAAACTCAGGATAGGACTACAGTCATTGCTTATTTTATGGAATAATGGCTTTAGCCAGCCAGCCCATTCTAGCAAAAAATCCACTTCTGTATTTTTTTCTCTGCCACTCCCCAAAATTCACAAATTTTGGAGTCACTAATTTTAGAAGTTTCTTAAAGATTGCACTAGGTAAGAATTCAGTCCAATCAGTTGACATTGATTATGATTGCTGCAGCTTGGTTCCACATCTTTCCATGACTGTTTATTTCTTGGGCAGAGATGTCCTTCTCCCACCATCATGGGTGGGATCCCATATGTAGGGTTAAAAATTACAGCTTTCTTAACTGGTTCAAAGTCACCAGTGGCTCCACAGGAGAAAGATGTGGCAGTCTACCTCCATAAAGATTACAGCCATGGAAACCCTCTAGGGCAGTTCTCCTCTGTCCTGTAGGGTAGCAGTTGGGTTTTTTGGTAGTTCATTTACACTGAGCGATTACTTGTCCACAGTACAGTTTGGTCAAACTGGACAGCCTTCTATATTCAGCCTTAGGCTATGGTAGAACCAGCCCAGACTTTCCTTCCCTTGAGGTAATTTCATATCAAGAACTTAGCTGAACTTTTCTGCTTTTAGGCCTCTGATAGCATAGTGCCTAAGGCACTTGACAGTTAACCAGAAGGCTGGCGGTTCAAACCCATCAGCCACTCCCCGGAAAGAAGTCTGGGGATCTACTTCCATAGTGATACTGCCTGGGAAACCCAAGGAAACCCAAGGAGAGGGTCGCTGTGAGTCAGGTGTGAGGGCACATAACAACAACCACAGGCCTTAGTCAGAACCACCCAGTTCCACTCCAGCAAGCTTCCTAACTTGGGTCTCTGGTGCTCATTATTGCTTGTAATCAATTTTGCATTCAAAGAATTAGGCCATGTTGGATAAGCCACTTAAACCCTAAAGGTTTTGTTATCCACATTCTTCTCCTAGCATAGATGCTTTTACTGAGTTATATTTGCATAACCATGAAGACTTCTCTTACTCTCTATATACATGGTAATTAGAACTCATTATAATGAAGACAGTTTTTATTTCAATATTAACTTGATAATGTAATAGCTTAGAGAATTCTCCCTGCTAATACCTATCTTGTAAGGAAGGGAAATAGGTGGCAAAAGCTTTATGTTTTAGTTATTTTGTTAAAACTTTTTAAAAATAATTGTTAAAACTGAAATGATAAATATTTCATTTAAGAAATGTCTTTATTGTTTATCCTGAAAGAAATTAGGCCAGTAGAATCTTTTTGTTGTTGTTGTTACATACATACAACAAATATCATATTTCATCAGTTTATAGCTGTACACTTCATTGACTGATTATATTCTTCCAGTTGGACAACCATTTTCACTCTGTTTTTCCTAATTACCATTTGTTGGGCCCGTGTTCGGAAAGGAATGTCAACACGAGGAAGCCACCACAGACACGATAATGTAAAAACAAAAGGAAAGTTTATTTGCTAGCTCGAGCTAGGGTCCCTGCTCTCAACGACGCAGCGGCTTGGGCAAAAGACCCCGTGCTCTTTTACTATCACATTTTTATAGGAAAAATATAGGGTGGAGTAGCACCAGGGCAAAGGGGTACAGATGATTGGTTGTTGCTAAGGGGTTTAGGGCAGGGGTCTGAGATGTTGGGGGGCGTGTTGGAATCCCCTGGCTCCAAAGTCTAGTTAGGGAATTATTATCTAAGGAGGATGTAAAACTCTGATGCGTGGGAGACTTGCAGGAGCCAGGTAAATCTCTGATATGTGCGGAATCTGGGGGGTCTGATACGTGCTGGAATCTGGAGGGGTCTGATAAAAGCCCTGAGGCATGTGACGTGTTAGAATCCCTGACACTAAAGACTTCTGGTTAAAGATTTACTTGGAGGCCATTAGGACTTAGGCCTCACACATTAACATATTTTCATTGCACTCTAAACAAAAACTTCCTGCTTCCTCCTCCCTCATGTCCCTGGCAGCCACTCATTACTTTTGGTTTCTATGTATTTTCTTATTTCATATAAGTGATAATATTCAGTATTTGTGCTTTTAGTCTGACCTGTTTTGCTCAGCATAATGTCCTTAAGGTTCATTCATCAGGCATACCTCAGGGCTTCATTCCTTTTTATGGCTGAGTAATATTCTATTGTATGTATAAACCACATTTTGCTTATTCATTCATCAGTTCGACATTTCAGTTATTTCCACTTTTTTGGTGATGAGCATTGGTGTACTGGTACGTATGTCTTTTTGCATCTCTGCTTTCAGTCTTTGGAGTATATACTTAAGAGTGGAATTGCTGGGTCATATGGTAAGTTATGAGTTGGGGCCGACTCGACGGCACATAACAACAACAACAACAATGGTAAGTTACGTGTTCAACATTTTGAGGAATTGCCAAACTCGTCTCCACAGTGGCTGTACCATTTTACATTCTCACCAGCAATGGAAGAGGATTCCTATTTCTCCACAGTCTTACCAACACTAGTAGTTTCTGGTTTTTTTGTTCATTGCCATTTTTATGAAGATAATATAGTATCTTATTGTGGTTTTGATTTGCATTTCTATAATGGCTAGTGACTTTGAGCATCTTTTCATGTGTTTTTAGGCATTTGAATATCTCCCTTGGTGAAATGTCTGTTCAGATCCTTTGCCCACTTGTTTGGTTGTGTTATTTGTCCTTTTTTTGTTATTTTGTTGTTGTTTTTGTTATGTGCCATCAAGTCGGACCCGACTCATAGCGACCCCTCCTTGGGTTTCCGAGGCAGTATTACTACAGAAGTAGATTGCCCCATCTTCCTTATGAGGAGTGGCTGGTGGGTTTGACTACCAGTCTTCTGGTTAGCAGTCAGATGCCTTAGGCACTTGTAGAAGTATTTTATAAATTTTGGATATTAGACCTTTATTGGATATATGGTTTCCCTAATTTTTCTCCCACTCTGTAGGCTGTCTTTCCACTTTTTAAATAAAGTCTTTTTATGAACAGAAATACTTAACTTTTATGAGGCCCCACAGGTAGACTCTTTCTCATTTCTTTAATTGTAGTTTAATGACATGAATATGGATTTGCACCCTGGAGCATAGGTGTTAATAATGTTAACGGTATTTGACCATTTTTCTTTCAGCTAATTATATGGACAATTGGAAATGTACTGGGATTTTGAAAGGTAATGGGAGCCCAGTCAATGGGAATTCTCAACAGGGAAACTCAAATCCTTCCCTAGGCTCAAATATCCCAAATCTACAAAATTCGTTAAATGGATCTTCTGCTGGCAGGTAGGCTGAAATTATCTTCTTTTTAGATCATTCTGGTAGCCTTACTAAAGGCTTATTATTTCATGGTTTAAAGATGGGATGAAGAAATTCACAGCATAATTACGACACTGCAGTTTAAAAAGTCACTTTGTTAGCTCTGTATTTGGCTTACTCAGTCATAATATTTATTTATGGCCATTAAACAAATTAAAATGTGTTCTGAAATTAAGTACTTTATCATTAGAAGTGTTTCTAACTTTAAGATTTTACTGAAATGAAGAGGGAGTGGAGGTAATAGGATTTTAGTCTTAGATAAACATAAGTAATGCCTTTGTTTCAATTCTGATAGTAGTGGGACCTTTTATTCACATCAAACTGAAATTTTAAATAAAATACGTTAAGCCTTTATAGAAGAGAGTAAGTTAAATAGTTTGACTTTTGTATTTAAAACCGTATTGGAGATTATAAGAGGAAATGATTAATTCTGAGTTCTTAATTTTTAAAATAGGAGCTCTGGTAGCCTAGTGCCTAAGGCATTTGACTGCTAACCAGAAGGCTGGCGGTTCAAACCCACCAGCCACTCCTCGGAAGGAAGGTTGGGCAATCTACTTCCATAGTGATACTGCCTCGGAAACCCAAGGAGGGGTTGCTAGGAGTCGGATCCGACTCCACGGTAGTGAGTTTGGTTTTGGTGATTTTTGAAATATTTGGTATTTTTTATTCTTCTTTATCTTAATACAAAATAGTTGATGTGGTCTAAAGAGTTGTCTGTTTTCATATTCAAATGTTAAATCTGTGAATTTGTAAGATTTTTGTTATTTTAATATGCCTCTGTGAATAATTTGAAATATGATTCGGGAGACTTTAAAACACAGCCTGAATACATTGTCCTGTAGTTATCTTAAAGAAGATTATTGAATTTAAAGCTTCCTTAACTGTTTTTACATTGTATATTTTTATAAAGAATTCTATTGTTTGTTTTAAAGTTTTCCATATTTTCATCAAAACAATTTCAGGTTATCATAGAAAGAGATTAGAGTATGAAGATGACTTCACAAAGCAAAAGAATACTATTGTTAATTAAAAAAAAAATCTGCTTATTGATTACTTTCTCCACTGTGTGTGTGTGTATTTTTTTTAATAGCTTTGACGTTTTGACCTGTATTCTTATTGTGCCAGTGACTATGTGTGTTAGATCTGTGATGCATTTTCCCTTCTCCATTTGTATTATGTCCTTTAACAGAAAGCACAGCTGAGTACAAGCTAACTGGAGTAACTTTGCTGTTTTGCTGCTTGTTACATGCACACAGGAATGGAAAGCGAACTCCTTTCCCCCTTTTCCAGCACCGTTTGACCTCTCCCAAGATAAACCAGCAGCCTCCTTACTACTAAATGCAATCAAATGGCCTTTAAAAAACACAGTGTATATCATTTTTCTGTACTCTCTAGCTTACTGACACTAATTTGAAGCTTTTGAAATACAAATAGGGAGGCTTTTTGTTAGGACAGTCACCAAAACAGTTTTTTTAAAAATATTTTCCTGAAACTATCATGGGTTTAAAAATCAAAAGGATTGTTAACATCCTTCTAAGTAGTTGGGAGGAGGGAAAATATCACTTTATTCCTCATGCAGAACTAAAGTTATTTCTTTTATTTTCTAAAATAGTAAGTTAAAATTATGGATTTTTATCATTTTAATATGAAGATTGAATAAATAATCTTCATAAAAATATGGAATGCTAGTTTGTTTTACCCTTTGTAGAATTGCTTCGGACATATCATTTAGTACAATTTTGTCATTTCTTTGTAATATTTAAAAAAATATTAGCAACGGAATAGAGAAGCAGTAGTAGTAGAAAGAAAGTCATTTGTATAGCTTGTAGTTATATTAAGCATTTGGTATTGCTTCATTTGTACTTTGGTAGTAAAATGAAAACACCTTTGTAAGCTTTTAATTAGTATTCACTAAAGAGTTATATGTTTCTAATATGTACTTGTATATTTTATGGTGTCATTACATGGCTTAAATTTTCCTCAGAATGAAAATTTGGAAATGTACTCTAATTTGACAAGCAATTAAAATTATACACGCAAATGGACAATTCCATGTTCTAGGGGTTTCTTAATTTAGTTGATTGTCAGGTAGTCTGTATTCTCTGGAGCTGTGACCTTGATAACAAAACTATAAATCTTTATCCTAAAATTTATAATTATTACCAGTAAGATAAAATAACAGAAGAATAACAATATGATATAAATTTTAACCCTTTTACTTACCAGTATTCAAAATGTAATGATGCTAAGGTTTTTGTAGAAAAACAACTCTGTTCATTAATTGTGTTCAGAATTGTGCTCCAGTAGCTAGCCATCTTATGTGAAGGTGTATTTTAATTGGTCCTCAGTATCATGTATGCACTAGAAAATGTGTGCCTGGTGCTGCTACAAATGAAGCATTGCTTAAAATGGAAACAAAAAACTTACTACATTTGTAAACTTACAGGATAGCCTCAAATATGTTTTTGAAAAATCAAAAAATGTTTTTAATTTTAAAAATTAATGTCTTTATAAAATTCATACTGATAATTTTTTAAAACATTTTAAGTCTCACAGATTGTATTTTTATTCCTTTCAAGTGTCTATATTTGCTTAAGCAATCTTGATTTGAGTAAAGGTCTTGATTTTTGCTATTATGTTCTATTTTGGCATGAATATACTAAAGTTTTTTTTTTTTTTTTTTCCAGCATGTGTTTTCTTCTCTTTGGTTCTCTTTGTATTTACTGCTTTTCTCTTTTTCTTCTGTTTTTTCCCCCCCTTTATTTTTCCTGTTGTTTTTGTTTTGTTTTGGTGTTTTTTTCTTGTCTTCATTGTTTCAGGTATTTCTTTCCCCCTCTGGATTCCCCACAGGCTGGATCAAGATGGTCCAGTTATGCCCAGCTCCTTCCTCCTCCTCCTCCTCTTCCTCCTCTGGTAGAGCACTCTTGTGATGCTGACACTGCCAATCTCCAGTATCCTCACCCTCGCAGACGATTTATCTCACAGCCTCTTAACCCCTTACCTGAGAATGAGGGGGTTTAAAATAACTGATTTAACATTTTAAAGGCCTATTCAAATGCTTGTAAATGCTTCCATTCCTGGCTGCTTTTGTTTTACGTCATTCTCTTTCAGAAGATTTTTCTAATTTAGGGTCTGTCTTGCATGTATTACAACCAGAACACAGTGTTTGAAACCTAAATATGTTTGTGCTCCTCCATCAAAGGAACATTGGCTTCATTGATTGATAACCTTTAATGAAATAACATATGTGCAAGCAACATTAACTGTGAGTTACACATAGTACCTGACTTCAAAGTGCCTGTTCTATAAACTGTATTTTGAACTGTTATTGTCTTAATTTTCTTAAGCTTTGTCATACTGGTTAATGTGAAAGTATATCATTATGTTGTTCACTCTGCCTTTGAGACATATTAAGAAATGTTTTTTTTAATTTTGCCGGTTAATGTTGTAACTGACTAGTGTGTAAAATAAATCATTTCTATGTATAAAGCAGCAAAACATAATAATGGACTATTTGGTCTTTTTTTTTTTTTTTTTAAGAAATTGCCATTCACTACTTGGAATTACTGTCTAAAGGTTTGTAATTATTATCCTAGTAGGTTATTTAATAAAATATTATCTTAAAAGTCATTAATCTGTTGTCTCATAAAAATAGAATGTATTTTATTTGGTGTTGATAAGGTTTACCATGTAGATAAAATAAACCAAAATTAGAGAATGAGCATTACATTTATTTAAAATGTAGAAAATCAATATGTAGACTAACATCTAAAACTGATAGATGTTGACTTTTAATTTAGTTATACATCATTAAACAATGTTATTTCTAAAATGATATCTTAAGATTTGAAATCAGAATATATTTGACAATTATGAAAATGAGTAAAAAAAAAAAAAAAACTTAAAATTGTGATTTGGGTGAAAATTTACAGAGCAAATTCACTTTCCAAACAGCAGTTCACATACACTTTGTCTCATGACATTAACTATAAATTACCTCAATGTAATAACTCCGCTCCTACTTCCTCCCGATAGTTACCTCTTCCCTGTGTCCATCTCTTCATGAGCTCCTGCCCCCTGAGCTGTCTTCCTATGCATAAACAGACCTTCTTTCTCCCATGATTGTTCTCTCCAAGGAGTGTATCTTCCTCTGTTTGGTTTTCTTAAGAGTTGTCAAAGACTTAACCCCCTTTAGGGCTAAAGACATTTTGAAAAACATTTCAAATATCTCTATCAGTTAATTGCACATAGATGACACAATTGTTATACCTATAATCTCAGAAGACACTTTTCCTATGAATAGGGTCATTCTCATAGAGTTTCTTAACATGCAAAGGATGAAAAAAATGGTAAAATATATTTTATTGAGTTTAAGAAACATTTGAGTTTTGTTGTATCTAATTATTTAAATGTTTTTCTATAAGGTGGTAGTGGTGGTGATGGTTGGGTGCTATTGGAGTTGTTTCTGACCCAGCAACCCCATGTACAACAGAACGAAACACCGCCTGATGCTGCACCATCCTCACAATCCTTGCTATAAGACTGTCAATCCATCTTGTTGAGGGTCTTCCCATTTTTTGCGAACCCTCTGCTTTACTAAACATGATATCCTTCTCCGGGGAACAGTCTCTTCTAACAGCCTGACCGAAGTACTTGAGGCAAAGTTTGGCCATTCTTCCTTCTAAGGAACATTCCAGCTGCATTATAAATGTGAAACAAATCCCTTTGCAAATAGTTTTCAAAGATCTTTCTTCTGTTGAAGAATTTGTTTTAGACTTTGAGATTTTTTTAGGTTAAAAGCAAGGAATCTAAGTTAAGGATGAATCTAGTGAAGAAGTAAGAATTTATGTCTTTGATGTTTCAACATTATAGAGGTACCTGGGGTTAGAATGAGATAATGAACTGAGTAATTCCTACTCCAATGTAATTTAGTGAATATTTAACACCAACTATGTGCAAAAAATACTGTGCTAAACAGTTTGAGATATGTAAAAAGCACACAAATTAATTCCAGGGGAGAACATTTATAGAATTTATAAAAGAGTTCAGCTTTGTACATAACCCAAAATGGACAAACAGCAGAAGAGAAACCAGATTGGGGCCTTCGAAAAATTAAAATTGTATGTGCTTCCAAAGACTTCTCCAAAAGAGTCAAAACATAACCTACAGATTGGGAAAAAAATTTTGGCAACGACATATCTGACAAGGGACTTATCTCTAGAATTTTTAGAAAACTCCAACATGCCAATAACAAAAAGACAAGCAATCCGGTTAAAAAATGGGCAGAAGACATGAATAGACACTTCACCACGGAGGATATTCAAGTGGCCAACAAACATGAAGAAATGCTCACGATCAT